AACCTCTACTCGACAGGGAAACTGGCAAAGAAAATGCAATACAAATTCCAACCCACATTTCCACTGCAACAAACTTTTTTTTAGTGTTCTCTGCATAATTGACAACTGAAATCAATTAAGGTGGTACTTCACTCTGTGTACACAAATTAAGAATTGGTGAAACAACGCATCTGTTACCATGGGCATCTCAGCTCAAAGAGTATGGTCAGCCATACATGACAGTCATATTGTCAATAGCCTCACTTCACTGGACTTAACCAGAGCTCCCTCGCCGTATCAAAATAAAAACAAAAAATCATCACCTTGGGTAGGAGTGTGCAATCAGGACAGTTCATCAACCTAGGGTAGGAGTTAAGGATTTTGGGCCCGATAACTTGGTTCCATTTTTGCTGTTCACAAAATCCTTCTCCCTCCTCTTCCACATGGTGGACTGAGGACCTAGGTGGTTCTATACTTATTTTTGCTTAAAAACAGCAACCCGTTCCAGGAAATAGCAAAACAACCTGGTACAGATTTTATCAAGAACATACTGTACACTTCTGCAAGCAACTCAACCATGAAAGTAAAACTTAGCAGGATGGCAGAACCTTTATGACAAATCATTACTCATTGTCGTTGGGGCAGATAAAATACTGTGCGCTTGTTCAATGTAAAAGGACAAACAAAAAAGGTAAGTTATATTTGTAGCTTTTCCCTAAAGAAATTCATCATCATAGATGAAAATCTGTAAGGAAAATAATAGTGGCTGTACGTGGGTGACCTCATTTGGGGGGGGGGGGGGGGGGGGGGGGGGGTTGTAATTACCCCCCCACATGTAAGGTCACCCGTTCGTGCCCGCAGGTTTAACAAGCTGACTCTGGAATGGTGGGAAGGTGGGTGATCTTGTAGTAGCTGGGCTTCAGCTGACGTGCAGTTCTTCCCGAAATAGTCCAGCGAAGCCTCTGGCCGTTAGGCCTGGAGCACCTGGTGTTGGCATATTCAGCCAGGCATTTTCCAACCAACACTCTCACGCAAACCAAGTCCCCGTCCCTGATCTGTAACAAAAACAAGAATGGGCGGGGGAACATTTTTAATTGTGCACCTTAGTGTTTGTTACAGAGTAATGTTAACCAATTTCAACAAATCCTTTTTAACCAAACAAAGCTACAGCAAAACTGCTAAAAACAGTACTTCTGAGTTTTTGTTGCAGATCAGATAGGGCTGTGCGATTATGGCAAAAATCATAATCACGATTATTTTGGTCAATAATTGATATCACGATTATTCATTGACTTTGAAAACATCCATTTATTGAACTTTAAAACAAATACAAATAATAATTTGAACAGTATCTTTGTAACTGTTGATTACCCTGAACGTATAATTCAACTGAAAAACCAATACAAAAATAAAGATACATTTATTTAAATAAATAATATCAAAAATAATACATACCAATAAACAAGATCAACAAATATTTGGGAGCGCACTTCAACAAGCTACTAAACATATGATAAATACAAATAAATTAGACTAAAATAAATTAGATCAAATATGTTGCAGTGCACTGTCACAACCAAGCAAAGCAAAATAATCGTTTTTTTTGATTATGTTGTTTTTGTAATTGTGGCAGGCCAAAATCGTAATTGCGATTAAAATACGATTAATTGCACAGCCCTAAGATCAGATAATACAGATTGTAGAAGTTGGTACTTACATTCAGTTGCTGCTGCAGACTTGTCAGGGCCTCAGCTATTTTGTCACTGTACTCAGGGTCGTGTTGCTCCTGGGACTCATAACACAGGAGAGCCATAGCGAGCATAGATGGCTGAAGAGATACAGAGAAGAAATTCTTAAATCACACAAAAAAAGCTGCAAACAGTCAATATGTTTGTTTAAGAACACTGGCATCTAAATTAAGAGATAACATTTAGAATAAAGAATATGCTCAAACAGAGGTACTACTTTATACCTGGTCTACCACCACATGAAATATTTTAATGATTAATCAAATAGTAAGCAACGTGCTGCTTTGACATACATTTAAATAATTTAACAATGAACTTGAAAAACTTCCAACTTAAAAAGGGGCCACCTTTTAAATGTTATCAGGCGGTTATTTTGGCCTACCTTCATTTTGGAGAAGACAAATGAGCAGTGACAGGCTTTTAGCTGAGCCTCCAGTCGATCAAGGCTCAGTATCTTCTTGCTGTGAAAAGAAAATGGGTTCAGTTTAAAGACGCCGACTAACACACAGTAAACAATGTGATATACATCAACCTTCAAATGTCAATTTAGAGACTAATATGAACACTTTTCTTTAGTACAACAAAATAATGACAATGTTAATGTTTTTAACATATTTTCATCTAAAAACATGTACAAATCTACATTATTCCACATGGGACTGTGCCTCTTGGCTTTAAAAAACCTTTTGGTCAGTATTCTCTTTGAAGCCAAATATGAGAAGACAGATTTTAGTAGTGTAAATATAATCCTGTTGAGTCATGGCTGAGCCCTGCAGGTTGATGTGACCGTCTGTCCTTACCTCTCAGCGTCGAGCTGCTCCTGGATGTTGTTGTGAAAGAGGCGCAGAAAGCGGAGGGCTGTGGGGGCCTTCACCTTCCAGTAGAGCTTCTCCATGATGATCTTCTCCATCCTCATCATGTCAGACACTGTAAAGCGTCTCTGACTGATGCGGATCAGTTCATTGGCTAGAGGCACGTTCTTCTCCTCTTCTGTGGACTTTATGGCGATGTAGACGCAACACAGGCCCACGCAGGACAGGTGCTTAGGTTGAATCTGCAGAGGACAAGGAAAATATTTTATAAAACAACTTTTATTATTGTTTCTAGATAGATAGCTGACCAGATTATTTGTACAGGTTATAATAGATTTACAAACCTTCATTACAGATAGAAATCGATCCAGCAAGCTGATGGCCAGTGAGAAGGTCTCTGAGCTGAAACCAAAGAACCTGGTCAGAGAAAGCAAGTCCTTGACCTCCAGCTCCCTCAGTCGGGTGGTCATCCTGAGGCCGTTGTCCTGGGAACTCTCGATGAGCCGCAAGCCGCTCAGCTTTGGTTGGTATCGGCCCTCCAGGTCCATCAGGGCCTTCAGCTGAACGGCAAAGGGCAGTGCTGCGGGTGCTGTCACGGTGTCGAGCATCTGTGCATATAGATAAATCGAGCCAATTAATACCGACTAAATCTAACCAATATTTGTAATTTCAAGTCTAAGTACTGATTATATGACAGTATTGTGTATGGCTACATAAAAATATGCCATACTCAATCTAAAACCATATGGCTACATTTACATAAAAGGAGTTTGAATAGTCAAGCAGGAAGACATGAACTGTTTTACTCTGCTATAACATTCAAATAACTTACGCATTTGCATCTGAGAACTAAGACCAGAAAAAGACAATAAGATAACCAAAACTCAGACAATATCTTTTCTTTAATGATATCAATACAACTATCCAAATTACCATATCCCAAACCTGGGAAATAATATGGTAACAAATATAAATACAATTTAATGGTTTTAATTATTTTTTAAACAGCTGTACTGCAATAAGGATATGGGTCAGCACAGTGAAATTAATGTAGTTTACTAATAAGAACAGATATGCATTAGGGATATCCATTGCTCAGGAGTAACGTTAACTGAGACTTTGGAGTGTTTCCATATTTGTAAGTTATCAAGTAACAAGCCTTCCCCTAACAGCTGTCATTGAACTGGACTCAACTGGACTGGGCAAGGGGCGGTGGATGGTAACTTACTAAATGTCAAATACAGTTTCTTAGAAGTAGCAATATAACTTTTATAATGTCATATTAAGATTAATACACGCTTTCTTAAATATATAATTGGCTCTGTTTTGGGAACATGTTGATCATTTGGGGACAGATGAGGATTTATATCATAGGCCATGCGTATGACTGGGCAGGATCATGTCGGGACATGTCCTTGCCATACACACCAATGGAGAGCTAGCAGAGCCTTATGATAATAACAAGCCGAAGTGAGATAACACAGTTTTAACGGTAAAACTGTGGCGTAAGTTATAAAACACAGCACCGCGGGTATTATATATATTTAACGTTATGCTTCATGACGGTGAAATGGGAAAGGACACCCTAATCTGACGAAAACGACGTGACGTTAACTGTTAGCTAAACTACAACAGCTAAGGCTAACACAATTTCCCAGGGTTTAGTGTAATTTAAGACAGACAGCCACATAACGATGTGTTTAAAGGTTATAATTCATCAATCCTTCCTAACGTTTTACAAATGGTCTGTGAATATGATAAAGAAAGGAAGATTGGTTAACTTACCTTGGATGAAGTTATGTTGCCTTGAATGTGATGAAAAATAAGAGTTGGAAATAAAAACTCCACAAGCTTAAAATTAGCAAGTGAAAGGAGATTTAAAAAACAAAAAGTGTAAGTATGTACTTTCACTAAAGAAAGTTTTAAGCTTAGGTTATGTTCTGCCTATGCACACCCTACCCTGAGCGTTAGGCGATGGGGGAAAAGGGCCGTTTCAGTATTAATGCAGGCAGAAAGCCAAGCCCATGCCCAAACATGGTGAGCTTCTATTGGTTATCGACGGACGACATTCATGATTCTACATTTTCATTGGATACATTCCCAGTCATTCACAATTAAGTCCCGCCCTCTACAGGCTTTAGGCCAATCACAGATGGGAAGGCGGGGAAAAACAGAATGTTATAACATTTACACCTTTACGCTAGGAACAACATTTTATTACACTTTTATTCTGAATTCATTTAATTTAAATCAACAATAAAGCAACGATTTCTTAAAATGTCATATATCGATTGTCTGTATGGGCCAGGCGTTTTTGTACAATGCTGTCTCTTTTTTTCAATGGACCCCTCCTGGCAGGTTTCTGGAACAATCTGGAGGGAGCCTGCTAAGAGTGACCAAAGCTTTCCACAACCTGTCGTTTCCTCTAGGAAAAGTGCAATTATGTAGAGTACGAAGCACATTTTCAATAAAGTAAGTCTTTATTACATCAGGATATACAAATCTCCAGACCCACCATATAGATCTACTCACATAAAGATATTTAATCCTGAATGTATAAGCATCAAGCCTTTTATCATGTAACAACATCATATCGTTTTTGCAATTTTGACACAACATAAGGACTGACATGTTAGCATGATAGGGCACCATTTATATTGATTAAGGATAGAATCTTTAAAGTGCTTATAAATCATAATATAATGATCCCTACAACATTAAATAGCAATATGTTACTTTATAATGTATATTTCACAGTGTAAATTGGCATCAGTCAAAAACTACAAGCATAACACAGCAGATTAATGAAGGTAGCACATTCAGTACAAAAACAGAGATTTTGGCAATGATATGATTCACTTTTAGGAATGAAGGTTAGGAGCCATGCAATGCAGAGACCATGCTACAGAACGCTGATAGAAGCTTAAAGGAGAGTTTTCTAGACATGGAAGACTTCAGAATCAATTCCAGCAGTGTCAAGTGCATTTCTATAAAATTGTTATTTCATATTGTAAAAATAATACACTGTTAGTCTGTGATCTTTTGATGTGGTAGAAAGTCTTCTAATTCAAATTCCTTCCTGAGGTTAAGGAGCACGCAGATGGAAGACTAAAGAAGCTATGAAAAGGAAAGAAAAACCATGTCATTTATCTGAACAAGCAACTCTACATATTCATTAGGGCCATTAGACAAACTTCAACAAGATACGAAGTACCAAAGATTAGTGCAAATTATAATTAGGTTTGCATTTTGTTATTTGTACTGTATGCTGCCAGGGACAAAGAAAATGTAAAACAACAACTTGAATTGAATGGATAATGCTTTTAACAAAACACTGTTTACAGATGAAAATCAGAAAACCATGTTTTGATACATCATGATGACAACAAGTGCAATATGAAATGTTCATGGAATCATAAAAAATGACTGATATGACGGGAAGTCCCAGAGAAGTGAGGGTTTAGGGTTCAGATGACCAACAGATGAACTGATGCTCTGTCCGGTGTAACATTGACATTTTTTATTTCAATATAAATGATGGCATATTTGCTCTTTTCACAGACACACTGTTAATTTATTTAGTTAATAGCTTTATAATTTTGCATATCATGGTGTAAGTCCATTACGTTTTGTACGTTAATCTACTTACAATTTAAAAAATAAAATACATTTTTTGATGTACATTATTAGAAATTCTGTCTTTTAAAACTGTTGACAATTTAAGTTGTAAATAATTGCATGTATAAACACACAAATGCTTCTTACTCTGTAATGCACTACTACTGTAATCAGTTCAATTCAGTCAGTGACTAAAAGTCTCCTGTTCTACAACAGGACATGAACACACATTCATGGCAAGAACATAAAACAACACAAGCTACATGTTATGAAAACAGTCCATGGATTGTGTGTCTAGCAGAGTCAGCATTAGGGACAAATTAGAAACTCTAAGCAAAGCTACCTTTTTGATCCATAAGTACACATTGGCTTAAAGCCATCACATTGTTCAGGCCGACATACGTGCATAGTCAAAGTGACACTGCCTACACATACAGTGTCAGATATGACAGTCTCTTTTTCCCATGCTGACAGCAGACACATTCCTGGTTTCCCTGGATGTTTGATCCATAAATCAACTGAAAGGGGAAAAGATATAAGACAGAATATGGGAAAAAAAACATGGAGGATTTGAGGAATGGTAGAAATCAAAGTAATAAATGAATGAAATGGGAATGCAAATGTGTTGAGGTTGTAACTTCGTTTCATCCACTCACCTTCCACAGGCCTACACTTAGTCTTAGGCTACGTTCAGAATCATACTAATTTCTTTGGATTTTAATATATTAAATCAGATTGTTCTAAAAAAACAATGGAAACTAATTTCTCCAACTATGTGTCACTCTTTTCAATATCTTTTAAGTCCCAATGCTTTATTTTTAGTCCCTTCTAATTTTTTCTCTCTTTTGTTTTCTGTCCGTCTGTCTCTAGCTAAAGTATTGGTTTTTATTTATGTTGCTGCCTGTGTTCGCCATGTCTCAATAAGAAGAGATTCCTTATCTCAGTTAGACTATCCTTGTAAAATCAAGGATAAAGGATAAAATGCGTGTTTATATCTGTGTTAATGTAGCGGTTCTTGCACTTTAAATACATGATAATGTATTTAAAGCTTTTTCTAACACATTAATGTAGTATAGACAGAAGGATCATCAGCTACAGTATTTTAGAGGGACAGTAAAATATCTGTTAAAATTAAAGATTTAGCCATGTGTGGTATCAGACTGTCGTAATGCCTTAAGTAACATTTTCCCCTACATGGTATGGCATTAAATCCAGTTTACCCTGCCATTGATTGTACAAAATATTTTAAGGAATTAAGCTTTCTCTTTATTAAGGCAGCTTCGTGTATGTTGATATCCAAGGCTAATGTTGCGCTCCAAGCTGTGTAACTTTTGAGCGTATGTAATTGATGCTGACATGATAATGTTTCCACCTGCAGAAATGATTACGGCTCTTTGTGGGATGTCTGAGTGTCCTCTGTGCTGCACATGGCGTGAGCATCGGTGAGACCGGTCGAATGTAAACAGACGTGCCCCTGCCTGAGATACAGTCTGGCAGGTCAGCCCGCAGAGACATAAGCATCAGGCTGTGTCATGCAAGCTGTGACCCTTCCCACTATGTCTGGGCACACAGTGTCAGTCTGAATCTGTCCCTCTATCAGTTTCTAAGCCAACATGGCTTCTGGGAAAATAACACTATCTCATTAATCACATTGTACGCCTCCCCACCCTGTCTGGACAACTCTACATAGACTGGCTCAGAGATTACGTGACATTTAACCAATTATCTTTGAATTGCCTGAAGGAATTTACAGTTTTTACTGTTTAGTGGCATTTGGGCTTGCTCTGACAATCATTGTGTAAATAAAGAACCATGAATCAAATCAAATACTTAGAGACAAGCAGACTTACTTCTTCTTGTCCTTATCCTTCTTGAATGGTTGTGAGCAGCCTTGGAGAGCCTGTCCCATCAGTGTCTCAGCAGCCACCTTTCTTCTGTTGAAGGCGTTCATCTCCTCCTCCAGGTCTCGTCTTTTCTCCTCCAGATTCTTCTTTTCATCCTGGTGCATCCGCTTGAGCTGCTCGAATCTTTCATGAAGCTAAAGGTGGTGATGGTGATGGCACAAGGCAAAAAGTGAGACCAACCAAATGTTGTATATTTTTTGTGAGTGGTTATTTTATCATGTCAATCCTCACCTCTTTTTCCTTCTCTTTCAGCTCTGCTTCTGTCTCCTTCACTTTACTCACAAACATCTGTCTCATTTCCTCCTCTTTGCGCTGCAGATCTACGAGGAATTCCTTCCTCTTTGCTTCGTATGTTTCCTGAAGGCTGAAAATCAGAAAGAAAATGTTAAGGACACTCATGCCTTATTTGAAAGGACATGTATCCAGAAGCTGGTTGCTGCAGCAGTTAATAAAGGTATCTTAGTTATTACATTAATGTTTACTAGGTTAGGATTAATGCATCACAAAAATGGGTCATGTAGAACTTAGTATTTACTCAATATAAAAACAATTGGAATAGCCACGCATTACTGATCACAATTCTGTTAAATAAATACGTAAACTTAAAATATTTTAACTTGCTTATCACAAAACAATAGCCTGAAATAACAAAACATTATGCCAATAACATTAGACTAAATTTGACTTTTCCACTTACTCTAAAATACATGACCATTATAACATCTGAACTAGTGAATCACTAGTTTGAAATGTGCTACTCTTAAAGAGACAACAAATATGTATCTGTAAAAAAACAGATGTACTGCTCTATGTCTGTGGCTACTGTTCAGAAAAACCCTTTCATCCTTCAGTTTACCAGAAACTTTTCAATCAAAAATCCCCAAATTTGGAGAAACATTGTTTCCACAAGGCAGAAATGGTATGAGGATTAGTAATCTGAAAATAAACTAGTAACTGTAGCTGTCAAGGAAGAAGTAAGTTCCTTAAAATTGTACATAGGTTAAGTATTTAAGAAAATGTGCTTGATTTCCCATACTAAAACTAGAGTGAAAAAATATGCATAAAGCTTTGCATTTTTCTTTTTCAGTTGGAGGTTAAAAAGGGACAAATCTCATCCCATCCCAAATCATAGAAACACAGATTTTAATGTGCTGTTTTTAAATCGTTCAGCCCAGTTTTAACATCAGAAGAGAGCAGGGTTTTTTGGCAGCTCCACTGAAGTTGCCCAGATGCATTACATCCCTGCTAGCCTTAATTTCACCTGAACGACTGGCTGTCCGGGCCGGTGTCCTTGAAGCCCATCTCTTCCAGCTTGCAGCGACGGTAGAGCTCATAGTGTCGAGCGTGTGTTTGCTCTCGCAGATCCTCCATGTTCACACGCAGCAGCATCTCCCTCAGCTTCACAAAATCACAATGGTTTTCATTCTCCACTGGAAGACAAGAAGACAACATCTAAAATCTCATAAAATAGGAGAATTGATATACCAAGTTTTTATCTCAACTGATTTTTATGATTTAACAATTCAGCGGACTCACCCTGTACTGATCCCCAGGGATACAGCCTGGCTTTCACCATCTTATTTCCCACTTTAACTTCCTCTACACTTCCCACCACAGCAAAGGGAAGATGAGTCTGTAACACATCGTATTGATAAAGTTACAACATGGTTAAAGATGATACTGCTGTCGTCATATTCAGAGTAAATTACAACATGCTTCGAAATATGTTGGTCTAGTATGCATTTAAATTGAGGCTTAAATTGTGCGACTTTAGTTCTCACGGCAATATATCCTAAATGTTTGCAACATTATTCCTATGGTAGCATGATCATTTGAATGAATTTAGTTTTACTTTATTATTCTACTTAATCTTTCAATTCAACTTTATTTGTAAAGCGCCTTTCTTACAAAACAAATGCAACTCAGAGTGTTTTACAAGTGATTGTCAAACAAAGAATGTTATAACAAGTAAAATAAGAGATTAAGATTACAGTAGTATAGAAAGTGAGAATGTATTATCCTGTAAAATACATATCACATTGTATTACGTGTGTTTCTAGGACTCACATTCATGGAGGTGTTGATCTCTGCGACAGCTTCATCCTCCGTAGGGAACTGATAAATCTGCACCCCATTACTGACCAGCTCACTCATTATCTTGATCTTTAATTTGTCCAGTTCACTCTTCGAAACTGTGTCTGCCTTTGCAATAACTGGGATAATGTTCACCTGCATGGAAGAAAAAAACACACTTTCATTGACAAAGAAGTACAGCTTTTGGCTGAAATACACAGGGCGAGATTTGGTCTTCACCTTGCTGTCCAGTTTCTTCATAGTGACGAGATCCAGGGACTTCAGGGAGTGTCCGGTGGGAGCGATGAAATACAGGCAGATGTGGATTCTTGTGTCATGGCAGTTAAACAAGGAGCGTCTTATTTTAAGCTCCTCCTCAAGATACCTCTCAAACTGGGCATCGATATAGTCAAGAATGGGTTTATGGCTGCACAGACAAGACAAAAACAATAAACTTTACTAGTTGTTGTTTGATGGACATTTAAGTATCCTAGTTACAAACTCTGCAACTACAGGCTTGCAGCCAAAAAAAGGCTGCAGTTTTTACTGCCTGCTGCTGGAGCATTTAAATGTCTATTGAGATTGCATTAGTTCTACCAGTCATTTCCATATTCCCTTTCTTCCCTCCCAGTTCACATGCCAGATCTCTCTCTCAATCCCATACTAAGTGAGTTGGCTGCAGTACCAGAGCAAGAGGGGGAAATAATTAATAGCTGGAACTTCCTGAGTGAAATCTCTATGAATTTTAAATGATCAGTATAAAAAAAAAAGCACTGAAAATGTTCGTATCAAGCTTTCTATGATGTTTAAATAACATTGTTTATTTTCTGATTCTGTGCAAGTTAGATTCTTCCACTTCTGATCCTATTTTCTTCCTCGAAAACACTAAAAGTCAAACAAACATCTACAATCAATCACATCTACAAGAATGTATACCTTTGCCCTTTGTTGATCTGGTCTCCAAACCCTACAGTGTGCACAACGGTCAGCTTCAGGTTGACGTTGCTCTCCTGCAGATCATAGGTTTGTGGGCGTAGCTGTACTTCACTCTGATAATGGCTGGCTTCCTCATTTTCAAATGTTGTGTTGAAAAGAGTGTTCATTAATGTCGACTTGCCTATCCCTGTCTCACCTTAGAAAACAAAGAGAAGAAGACACATGGTTTATATAGATGAGGGAAAAACTAGGTAAATTCTAAATGAATGCATGTCACGCTCAAAGCACTGACTCTGGATTATGAGCTCCTCCTGGGTTTAGACATACCTACACAGAGGATGTTGAAGCAGAATCCCTGAGCCACTGATTTACTGACCAACTGATCTGGAAGACTGTCAAACCCCACATGACCTCCGAGCTCCAGGTTTCGCTTTTCTTCATGCTGAGGTAGGCAGAAAAAGGCAAGACAAAGAATGTACAGTATCAGACTGTATGACTTTTATTTAAGAAACATTTCATCGTATTCACTTTATATTACTATATATATATATATCATAGGAAACAATGCCAAAAACCAATAAAAAGTTAGGGAATAAATAGGTCTTTCTGTCAGGTCTCATCCTCACAATCTCCCTTCAAGCTTAAAAGCATTCTTTTCAAATTAGGTCATCTTTCTCTTCCACTAAACACACTGAATAGTCCCACAAAAATGTTCTGTCTCAGTATCACAAACCAAATGTATCTTTCAAAACCACGCAAACATAGGAAGAAAACAAAAAGCTTCAAAAATTATTTTAGCTGTGCAGCACAGATGTCTTTCTTTACATTGAGTGTCTTGTGTCTGTACATAAAGCTTTATTGTAAACCCTAGGTTAATGCTGCCAACAGGGAATGTTTGCGATTATAAGTATACTTATTTTCCTATATTTATGGCTGAAATTAACACATCATTTCACCATTCCTTTGTCTGTGAATAATATTTTGAATCAATAGTTTATTACATTTTTCTTTGAAATTAAAAAATAAGTTAATTTACCCCCATCACATAGGAGAAGGTTACCTCTTCAAATTGCCTTTTTGCACAACCAACACTAAGAAACTTGTAAAAAAGCACACATCACAAAATGAGACTTTGCTTGATAAACCTTAACAAGCCCTCTTTCAAGCAATGACAATATGACAAATATTCAATGTTTACTCTAGTTCATTAGTCTAGTTCCCTACACACAGAAAATGAAATCCCATAATATCAATACATTTGAATCTGTAAATCCTAAAAACGTATGCAGATTGCATGTTGCCCTGGCTGTCTAATCTAGTCGGTTTATCCTATACCAGATGCACCCTGGGATACTGGCATCTTGCAAAAGGCTCACCATGAGGATCAGGATGTGCTCAATACAACAATCATCCGTTTCTGTCCCTCTCCACAAACACAAAGAGCTCTTTATCTAGATGTTGTTTCACAGGGTGGGAGGATATCCAAGCTGCTGGCTGCCCTGGTACCCATAACTCCCCTCTACAGTTAGACCAGCACACACACTACCATCACTCAACAAAGTCTCCCATCATGCGCAATGCAACTGTAAACAGGGGATTACATACGTGTCATTAATAACACGTTTAGCTAGTAGGCCTACATCTTTTTCGGTAAACAATGTTTAGCTAGCTACCACTTGAGGAGGCTGCTACTTATGTCTTAACTTAGGTCTCATGCTGCCTGCTGTCCTGCGTTTCATGCTACTCTCCATAAATCAGCACCGTGTGCACCTGTCACAGTGTTAACATGGTAAACAGTGAAGGGTTGATGCACATGCGTGTTTTTATTGTGGACGTCTCCACAGATTGCGCACCGGACTACGACGCATCGTTTCTGTCGTATCAACCGTAGCTGAAAATCCGTGTTTATCCCGATTCATTTAACATAACAAGCCCTTTCAACACCGCAGGCCCCCTGCTGCATTCTCTGCTCACATCATCACCTTGCTCTCACGTGCACCTGATAGCTATTTAATTTCCTATTTCCTTTCACCAAACCCTGAGTCATTGCAGGCCCGCAGACAGCACATATTCATACTTACTGCGAAAACATCTACCTCATTGGCCGCCATCGTCAGAAGTGTGCAGGAGAGATCTGCCTTCATCAGAACGGCTCCTCTGCACATTAAACACGGAGCGACTCTCTGCTTTCAATATGGCCACTTGGAGGCAACACCCCCTCGGTGCTGGAGGGCGACACTACAGCTCTATTCATCATACTGTACGTCTAGAGTTTGGAGCAAGCTGTTTTGGTTTTTTAAATACTCAGGAATTATTCGGATTACTGCTTCCACGGTCCAGCTGAAGGCTAGGCTACCTTCTCCAGGATTAGAAATAGTGCCTTCATGTTAATCAGTTGTTGTCTATATTGAGTTCAGATTTTTACCAGTATTACAAATGTAATATCACATTTCAATAGACGTCATCAATCAGCTGTCTGTTAGCAACCGTTTAAAGAGGACTTCACAATATTTCAATAATATACTTCATTATCTTCCCCATACCTTTCAGAGGAACATGTAGCCTACTTGTTTGTACACTACATTCATTTGACAATTGGTAGTTAGTTTAGCAAGATGTAGCATATCATCTACTTGTAAATTGTGAAGCTACCCAATAACAAAATAAAGTTTCTAAAATTGGCCAGGTGGTGATTAATGCACCAGCTGATAATATAACCAGTAAATATATGCCTCTAAAAGTAGATTATGAATGCAGGTATGAATGAAATACTGTAACATGCTTAATGTAAAGAATCATATTATATTTGCTGCTATGTTATATTAAGCAATTTATCATTGCTGCGTTGTTTTTGAATAATGACCATTCCACCAACTGCTTTTTTTCAAAAACAATCTCAGAATTGATTTAAGAAGCTTATTTGTCGTATTGTCATACTGATATTCTGTACAAACTGTGAAGTCCACTGAGACAAATGTAACATTTGTGATATTGGGCTATATAAATAAACATTGATTGATTGATTGATTGATTGATTGATTGATTGATTGATTTGATCATTAGGCCTACTTCATGAAGGCTATATTAAGTAACCCGTTACATTAATCATTCAATATTAAATGTTAATTCAAGTAACAGTATGCACTTAGAGTCATTGCAATACTGTATTAATTTAAAACGCACAGAAACAATCTGACTTAGACATTGTATGTTGTCGTTCAATGTCGTAGGCTACTGTTTATACATAGGCCTACACACGTTTATACTTTTTTTACATAATAGCTTAATGTTTGGGGATCAGCTTTGTTGTCCTTGTTTTTTAGTTGTATGTTCTGTGTGTGTGCATTAAGAGCAGCAAAACAATTCCTTGTTTATGGCTAGCCAATACTATATGTGATACTGATTCCTTTTCAATGTCAAAAGAGATTCAACATTTAGGCTTACTGATAGTAAATCAGTATCTTAGGAGAATTTCTCCTTTTTGATTAAATAGCCTAACAAAGAAACACGAAGTAATCTAGGAAGCTGTAAAAATGTATGATCAACATAGTTCTACTTTATTTCAATAATATTTGTAATCTATTTGTTTTTTAACTTAACAGATAAATATGTAAAACATACTGATATAACTATAACTTTTACCTTCAAACTTTTTTTAAGTAGGCCTACTTTTAATATTGATCTATCTACTAACCCAGCGGCCCAGCCTTCAGCAGGAGAGCTCACAAAACAACGGGAGTTTATTTGGCGAGGCGCCGGAAGCAGCAGGTTGGACAGGACAGGGGAGGGGAGCACGGACAGACACCAGATTATCCCTCGGGAGTTATCTGAGCTATCCGTTATTATTCCCACATTTGTACCAAGTCAAGAGGAAAAAATGGCTTTGACTCAAGAATCTCTTTTGTCTTTTTTGCTGGAGCACGGAGGCAAAGTGAAAAACTCGGAGCTGGTGAACAACTTCAGGACTCAGATCAACTGCAGCGATCCCGCGGAAAAGCAGCACAATAGGGACCTTTTCAAGAAATTGGTGAACAGCGTCGCAGTGGTGAAACAGATCGACGAGGTGAAGTTTGTGGTCGTGAAGAAACGCTATCAGGACTTCGTAAGAGAGGGAGCGTACGATGCAACCCCGCAGAAAAAAACGCAGATGGACGACGAACAAAATAGCAGTTTTTCGTTTCCATCTCCTCACCGAGCCGAGGCAGGCAGGGTGATTTATTCTGACATTGAAAACAATAATACGTGCTACCCCTCGAACATAAATGGCAGCTATTGTAGTGAAGCCAAACGTAAGTCTGTGGGGGGTATGCACGACAAGAGGCAGTTATTAAGAAGCAATAGTGGGGAGGCTACCACGGTTAAAGTCCTGAATATCTCCGGAGATCAGGCGAGCAAAGCGAGGAAATCTGGTGCTGTGTTCGCTGTCATAGCGGTAAAATCCCCCCCGAGAGACTCTGCACCAACAGCACAGGATGAAATACATTCCCCAGTGCATCCACATAAAACCTCAGACAAACCAATCACGTTTACAACTAAAGTTTCTTCACCATCAACTCTGAATCTTAACTTTCCAGCTTGTAAAAAGAGTGCACAAAGTGAGTCCCAGTGTTGGAAAAACAAACAGATGGAGGACATGCAACCCCCAAGATTTCCCCTGGGGAGGTCTCAAAGCAAGAGAGATGATGCAAAGTACTCAGAGTCAGTGCCTTTGGAGCCATTAGCTCATGAGTGGTTGGTAAAGTGTGCAGCTGGACTGTGGGGTCACATCCACGGTCTGCTGCTGCAGGACACTCGGCTGGCACAGAAGAAAGACTTCATGTCAGGATTCACGGCACTGCACTGGGCCGCCAAGGACGGCAACAGTGAGATGATACACAAGCTGCTGGACATCTCCAGGAGAAGAGGAACCTGTGTAAACATCAACAGCAAAGCACACGGAGGATACACACCTTTGCACATAGCAGCCATGCACGGCCACACTGAAGTGATGTTTCAGCTCGTGCAAGGTTATGGAGCCAGTGTAAATGAGAGAGATAATGATGGCAAGAAGGCCTTCCACTACCTGGGCAAAAATGTGTCATCTGAAGTCAGAGCACTTATGGGAGGACTGCAGCACAGCAAGTGCAGGGAGAAGATAGACGACGAAGAATACAGAGAGCACCAGAAAGGCTTCAACACCATAAGTAAACTGTTCCAGCCGCACATAGGGAGGAAACAGAAAAACTAGTTTGCTCAGGAATGGTGAGAGTGACATGGAGGATCAGGACAATAGGACAATTGTAATAGCTAATACTGTCTGAGTTTGTATATTATGTTAATATAAAACAACAAACCCGTTGTTTATCCTCTGCATCACTTAACGTCTTATAAGTCTCTCTGTACTTACTATTGTAGCGCTTTTGTACAGTGTATCACTGCTGGATGTACTATTTATAAGCAGTTAGTATTATTTAATCAACTTGTTTTCCTTAGCTTAATTCCTTGTTTTAAGAATGAGTGTTATTTGGATCCTGTTTAATTTATTTGTCTTACTAACAACACAAGCAATCCAAGATATTTGTTTACTTTTTGTGGAACACATCTGTAGAAGTTACCAATTGATTTGTGACTTCAAAGTATGAGGATAAATGAAATATGACATGGGAAACAGTTGCTGTCAACACTGGTGTGAAACATTGTGTTGTTGCTTTTGTGCACAGCAGATCTATTTATGATATAACTATGATCAAAATAAAGTATTTTAATTTTCAAAAGAGAGAAAACATTGGATAATCTTGTGGAGAAAATAGAACACATTTTTGAGAAAGCTACCTCTCCCCTTCAGTAAAAGCAGAGGGGACCTTTTGGGGGGCCTGTTATGAAAAGCAGGCCAGCAGACTGGGTGGTGGAATGTCTCCTTTATCAACCTCTTTGTGAACCTGAGCTGTAATGGGTGAGAAAGGCCTCCCTTTGTGGGACAACATGGCTTCACTCTTTAGGGTGATGTCTAAAGTAAAAAAGACATTCTCGGCCATGACCCAAATACCACATCAATCATTTTAGTTTTGATTAGAAAGGATTTCCGCCAAATACAAGTTTAACAAGATTCTCTCAACTGTAAAAAAGAAGCCACAGAAAGATATAAACTTAAGGGAAAACCCAACAAGCTTTATAAAAACATTGTAATTGTGATCTAGTCATTAAGGAATTGTCTTTTCCCAGATAAGAAATGCTTGAAAACAGTAATCTGCCGTCTGTGTGCCATGTGTCCTTAAGTAACCCAGAGGAAACTATCCCAGATGACATGAAAAGAGTTGGAGCTCAGACAATGAAGCCATACGCAAAACTGCCAGAACAATGTCCTTTGTCTCGTTATCTGGAAAAGAAGCAGCTTCAATAATAATCCACGCAAAAGGCAGCTGCACTCACAGCAAATATTTAACATTGTAGACTGTATTATGTGCTAAATCTCACCTCAAAACTATTTGCAATGAAGTATCATGAAAAGAAACAACACAAAACCTCCTGTGTCTCTTTTGTTATCAGACTGAATGTACAAACATCAAAGACTGCATAACAATACTGTGGCATGGTCCAGGCCTGGTATCATTTCCTGTCAGTACAAAATGGAAACGTACAACACTGAGTAGTGCGCAGGTTAGTGTTACTTTTAGTATTAATATGGTGTGTAACTGAGACACAAAGCCTAGCCATTTGGCCGTAGAGGCCTTACAATTACCCTTCATAAAATGAAAGTGTTACATGACACAAACAAAATAATCCTATATTTAGAGCCTTGCAAGCAGTGGGGCTAAAGCTTGGTCATGTCATATTCAAGGTTTTACAGGAAAAACATAAACAACAAAGTGGTGCATCCCCTCAAATCCATCAACATCACATCAAGGGTAATTTAATCATCGACTTTCCTGACAACCACTGAAGGCAAAGGCAAAGCAAGGCAGCACATTTTATAAAGACAAATATTATCTGTCTGAATCAAATCAGTTACCACAACATAAGAGACTATATCAACTATTTCCATCACACAACACGAGCATGGTAATAGCCAACAAAAGTCCATATTCCTATCTTTGGTGTTACGTTATATTGTTTATATTTGTTTATCTTAGATGATTTTAACAGATGATGGGCAAGGGCAGGGTTTGCAAATATTATCCTTAAATTGTCAATTAAGTAATTATGCAAAACATTAATTTAAAATAAAAGAAGCACTAATTAAAAGTGGTTTCTTATTTGTTCAATGTGGTATTAATACGTATCTGTTATGGGTTTGGAGCCACCGGGTCACATAGAAGATCTTGAAACAAAGTGAAATTGTCTTCTGGATTAGTGCTGGAAAGTA